AAAAAAAACATCTATCTTTGCTTTAATTCAATGCTAAATGGTAAGATCGAGATATTATAAAACCTATAACTGCTTCATCTTCAATTTCAGCTAATTTAGTCACGTCAAGTACACATTTATCTATCTTATTCGCAGCTTTTGTTAGTGTAAAAGCCATGTCAATTTGTGCCGTTCATATCAAAAACGATGCGCGTGACTATTAAAAAAGTAAGCTTTTAAATGAGCTAGTGTGACAGATTGTTCTTAATGTAAGAGGGTAAAAATAGAATCATCTGGTGTTGCAGTACTTTCGAGCGCAGAATTGCTCAACACTAAAAGATTTTATGGGACCTTAAATCTCACTGCATCTGCAGAGTGACCCAGATTATTATCGAAAATTAACATATGTAACATGGACCTTAAACTGCAAATGTTAAAGGTATTTTTGCTTTGCTTGCTGGCCGTTGTCCTTTCTTAATAAAGATATTGAGGCAATTTACCAAAATCCTCCACTAACTCAACAAATTAATTCTAACTTTTTTTAAAATACTCACCGTGTCCCCATAGGTGACTCCAAGTACAACGTGGTATCCCCTCTTCGTGTCGAGTTGAATGATACAACAGCTTGCACATGTTCCAGGTATCTGACTTCTGTCGCTGTGCCAAGGCAGGCATCCGTATCGAGCTCGAGGACCAAATTTCCGTCTTCAGGGATTTCGCTGCAAAAACAGTTTATAGAAGTAAGTTGTAAATTTGTTCAATAGTCAGCTTTGGAATGTGATATTCAGTTTACTCTTAATGACACATTTTCTCTGCATAATTTCAATCTTCATCCTTATGAATTCCGGAAGGAGGATGTTAGAGGGAGAGGAAGGACATACGGACGCTTGACAACCTCAAGCATTGCTGCACTTTTACGTATTAGACTGCAAATATGTTAGACGTCTAGTGACCTCCTATAAGTCTTACAAAAACATCTTTTTTAATTGTTATCTTGCTCATCTTTCTGAACCAAAAAAAAGTATAAGACCTTTTCTTGTCAAACTGAACAAATCACAAACAGAGTTAAGACTGATTAGTTTTGCAAAATGGTGCAGCAACTGAGTTCAGCGAAGACTTGCGTCATTCTCATCATATTATATTTCAGTTTTTTCATGCACTCAAACCTATTCAGAGCCATTATGCACTTATGACATCACCTAATGAGTGCACAATTTTCAATAAAGCAAACTTTAGTGAATCGAAAGCAGCATTAACAAAAGGTGATGGAAAAGGATAGCGTGGGATCTATTTATCATGATCACGTCAAGTAAGGTACTTATAAAAAAGCATAATGATCATGATTTGTTACTTGAAAAGAGTTTTGTAGCCTTTCTTGCGCGGGAGGAAAAATTACGAGATATAGTAGCTATATTGTTCAAAAATCTGCACAACGACAGTCCTCACACACTTGTTGGACTTCAAAAAATATGCGAAATAGGCGGACAAAACAGAAAATAAGAGATTAGTACTCACTGAGGTGTATCGATGGTACCTCCAGTGCAATGATAGCGTGGTGGTGCTGTTTTCCAAACCATTGCAAGCATTACCTTGAGTGTTTGTTTTACCATATTAAAAAAGAAACACGACTAATTTACCATTTCAGCAGCATCCAAGACCCCAAATCCGAACAAATGGTTGTATTCGAGACCAACTCCATTCATCTGCCATTCAAAATGGGTACAGTTACCCTTTGATTTCTTCTGATCGTCATCCTGGAAAATTTGGGATTGAGGATGAAATTAGAGATAAGAAAATTGACTGTTACCAACCCCTAGTCCCAGATCTGGCAGATCGCGGCAGCGGCCATCGAACAGTGAGTTACGCGTCGACGTGAGTACCGTCAGATGTTGAAGATCACGCCTTAAAATTAGCTTTTTCAATTCAAATCAACAAATACCAAGGAACTTTGAAATTTTTTAAACAGTACAACTATACCATGTCAGCTTAGGATTAGCCTCAAGTGCCAACGCGAAGACTCCGGCTGCTTCTGGAGCAGCAGCTGAGGTTCCAGAATGTGAGCGAGTACATCTTAATTGTGATGATGAGCTCAATTCCATAATGATGCCACACAA